ACCTGGTCTTTCAGAGCTCAAGGTCTTCAAGATGCTCTTCAGAAATTTTCCCACTGTATGTGGTGTCCTCATATACAGGAGAGTGACTGAGGTTTTCAGGCACTACTGTTCCATAAATATGTAACAGTTGCTGAAACCTAAAAGATCACACTGGATGCAGAGCTAAGATGACATAAGTTAAAGGTCAAGAAGCTTTTCCAGAAAAGTAAATATTCCAGAAGATATATATCTTGCTTTTTCTTAAACTAAATATTATCTCTTTCTAGTTTTGAGAGGATTAAATGTGACTTCTAAAAATTTTAAATATTTACAGACAGACTGCCTGAGAGAGCAGCAAAATGCATGTACATAGAAGTCCTTCAAACATTATCCTTCAATAATATCTCTACTAAATTATCATCTGAAAATCTACAAATAAAATCAGGTCTTGACAGTACTGTGTACAAGACTTTGTAACAAGAACATTCTTGTATGTCAAAAGGGAAGCACTTTTGCCTATGTGCTGTTTTATCAAGGCCATTCAGAACGTGTGATAATTCCAGACAAATGTCGCTCTTCTTATCCCCTGATTCAAAGAGGTTTTTATTGCAGACTTAGCAGTGTAAGGCCAGCACTTACATCTGAGCACTCTCATTTTATTCACCAGAGAACAACGGGAGAGACACAAATATGCTCAAATATTCTAGACAGTTACACTCAAAAATAGGAAAGAAATTCCCTGCACATGCTGTGGCTTTCATTGGTTATAAACAGCTTTCATTGGTTATAAATATTTCTAGTGGTCTGCAAGTGTAAGTGTGAAGTACAAAAAGGTGCTTACACAGCATTTTAACAGCTTTACAAATGAAAGAGGCATGTGTTTCCTCCTCTGCTGCCTTTTCTTATTTAGTTTTTAATCTATGATAAACCCCTATGAAGATCTCAGATAATTTCCCCTGAAAAGTACTCTTCTCTGAAGGCTAGTGTCAGTATGAATATGACATGAGTAGTCAATTTTTTTATTCCTGAGCTTTTCAGTATCACAGTAGCTCAAGGGAGCATCTAGATATTGCAGCAAAGCTGGATATGGTGTTTCAGCACTTGGAATTATTTGTGCCTCAAATTGCACTTCTCTGTATTAAATAATTCGAGGTGATCCATAAACACCCAAGTGTCTAAATCATATTATTCACTTTCAATGTCTTCCTTAGTGCTGATGAAGAATTTCACACTTTCCACATACAAAGCTTGCAGCATTCCCTCATCTACTTTATGGAAAATATATCACTGTTCAAAGCCCTGGACCAAACCCCATTGGGTTTGGAAATTTAGCCACAACTCAATCAGCTGAGAATACTTTTGCTCAGAGGCAAAAAAAGCAAAAAAACCCAGGGGCCCTGTACTAAAATGTCAGTAGCCCTGGCTTTGATTTGTGCCTTCTACAGTTGTACACAAGTAGAAGGAAGAAAGAGCTACTGAAGAAAAAGAGTGCTGAAAAAAGATGAAACTCCATCAATTAAAATCCATTTTACTTCTATTCTGACAGAATTGAACTGTCTATACTAGGGAATTATCTCAATAATTAGTCAATCTTGTCCAAGAAAACTTAAGAATCAAGGACCTTTAGAGTTGGAAACTTGACCTTTTTTCCCCTAGACATAGTCTGTGTAAATCTGCATAATTTTCTATAAATCCTGACATATAATGTAAAGGAAATAATCCATGCTACTATGTCTGTGACCTATTTTTTTATCCTCTCAATGCATCTTAAAAAAAAGCAGGTACACCAGAGAAGAAATAGGACCTACTGGGCCCTTCAAGGACTGCAAATGCTTCATTTAAGGATTTATCTTTTCAAGAAAACAGTACTCATTGTTCCTTCTGAGCTGTCCTGGTCAAGAACAGGAGGTGGCAGGAAATCATTAGGCAAAGGATACATATGGGTCAGAGGTGGTATTTTTGAACTATTATTTTAAAATACTTTGAACTATTTTGAAAACATTTTGGGGAGCTGAAGTACAATTGTATGCATGATTCTCTAGGCTGACAGCAGCCTGATCTCTCCCTTCCCATTTGGGCACTGACAACCATCTCCTTAGATCATTACTCAGTCTAGCCTGTTTTCTATGTCAGCATCAAAAGCCTCCTCTTTGCTAAATTTTCTGCCGTAGAACTTCCTATTATCACATCATTAATACAAAATCACTGGCAGCCAAACCTCCCAAACACTGCTATGAATACCACTCTTTTATCTGCTTAATCCTGATATGGAAAATAGTACATTGTGGCCATTTTAATAAGCACCTTTGTGGTCAGACTGTGTCTTTCAAAATGTTCATCAAACTATTCATTGGCAATACATTTTATAATAAAATTCCTATATTCTGGAATAGTGTATAGACCTATGGAATTTTGTCAAGACACTGACTGAATAATTGTACCAAGCAAATAATAACTATACCAAGCATATGCAATCTATAGAATATGAGGCAAAATTCACTTATTTTTTTACCATGGTTCTTCTTATCACATTTGTTGCTGCACCCAACTCGATGTGTACCATCACTCCATAACCTGATTCCCAAGTGTGGAAGAAATCAGTTCAAACCTGTCCTATATCTTCCTGTCAGTCAGGCAGCTACAAGATGACTCCAGGAGAAGGACTGGAGAAGACTCCAGTCTGCTGCAATACCCCTCAAAAGGCATATTTTTGTCACCTTGGTAGACACATCGGTGCACAGGGTAATGTGCCAATTCCCCCTGAGCAACATGAGAGCTGGAGAGTGATGGATAAACACCAGCAAATCCCATGACTCACTTCCCTGAAGAAAAGGGTAAAGAAACCTTTAGAGAAAGCCTAGCCCCGTATTTCAGGACTATCATATCTCTTTTAGAAATCAAGATGTATATCTTCCCCACAAGCCTGCAGAAGTGCCTACCCTCACAGATGAGCAGCTTCCTGCCCTACTGTGCCTGCATGGCTTGTGAAAGGAGCACAGTCTGTGCAGGACTCAGCCATTGCCACATCAAAGGGTGAATGGACTCTCACACATGCATATTTATATGCTTCCAATCCTTCAAAACTATTTACATTTCCAACCTCTCTAAAAGTAGTAGCTTTAGCTATTACTTTTAGCTTTACATGAACAGCTTTGCATGAATGACAATAATAAACAAATAGTCATTTCTATCACTATGTGTTTTAAAATAAAACCTATAGTACATGAACAGTGTGCCTGATTGCACTTTCAGAGATTACTACCAGCGTATCTTTTACATTCTTCAAGCAAAATGTGAAAATCATGTGGAAGCTTTAAAAGTTCACATTGAGTTACTTGATTTATATTCTTCCACATACATTAATTTTTAGTACCATGCAAATATTTCTGTTGGCACAGTATTCTCTACCCTGGAGAATTTAACTGGATTCACAAATTGTTACAATATCCCTCTGTTAATTTAGTTTGTTCACAGTATATATTAATGGATGACTACCCAGTAAGCAAAGATACAAAAATTGTAGTTTGGACAGTTGATAAAGGTCTGTAGCTATTATGGCATTGAAATACTGAAAAAAAATTTCAGATAGGTTTTTCGTCTGACTACTCCTAGCTACTGATAGACCTTCATCTGGTTTTATGAAGGGTGTTATGCACATAGAGTGACATTGGCTGCAAAGCACAGTCTGGACCCAATGATCCAAATAGTTCCCTTCTGCATCTATGTTCCAATAAAAATGCTGTCAAACTAACAATACCAGCAAAAAAGGGAAGGTTGAAGGTATCTCTGACTTTTTTTTACTGCATATAAAAACTCCTCCTTACAAATGACTAAACATTCTGAGACAAATATTGTTGGGTTTTAGTGAAAATAGAATTTAAGGTATTTTATGAAACAGCAACCTTTTTCTCCAAGTGAGGAATAAACAGACCGTGTTTGTTAAACCTTTTTATTCAACATAACAAAGTTTTTGCCCTTCTGGTTTAGTTTAATTTTTTGTGCTTTCTACCAAACAGGATGAGCTCAAAGCAGTCAAGCATGTATAAAGGTTAAAACACCCTTGAAAGGCTACCCTGTTCTTGCTTATAATCTCCTCCCACAGCTCACAAGCCCTGCCTCTTAGCCTCTTTAGTATTGGTTTTAGGTGTCCAGCATCTCTGCACATTCCTTTTAAGTTTCTGAAGGGGAAAATGAAAGTGTCAGAGAGGAACCAGGCTATTGAGGACCTTGCAAACAGACAGGTTTTTTTTCAAATATTTGTTTTTCTCATCTTGAGGCCTCCAGGTATGTTTGATTTAAGGCACTGAAAGAGCAACCATCCAGCGGGTAGAACTTTTTCACTAAGCAAACAAGCACAAGGATTAGAACATTAGAACCCTAAAAGTGCTTATGTTGCTTCACACTTTGTGTTAGCTAAAATTTTCCTGCTAACGAACTCAAATGAGTTTCCAAGTCAGCTGAACAATCTCACAGATATTTTTGTGACATGTTACTAGCAGCTCTGATACATAAATGGATCTTATTAGAAAGTGGGTGCTGATTTCTAGTGATAACTTTTGCTAGGTTGAGAGACATCTGCAAATATTATCTATTGGCTTATTTTTGTACAAAACCTGCTCTGCATACACACATACTTTGTTCAAATAAAAGCTAAGGAGACATATGTATTCAGACCTTCGTTGTAGAATTGTGCAAGTGGTTTTTTAAAGGGTAAATAAAGGTCTTTGCATATAATGGGCACATGAAAATGTCCTGAGGGACTGCATGATGTGTTTTAGCAACACCACTCCAAGAAAAGGCAACAGTAGCCTACAGCCAAAATCCCTTTGAATAATTTATCTGGAAGATCATTGAGAAAAATGAGTGGGAAGCATGTGAAAAAAATCCCATAAAAGCTCCCTGTTAAGGGAATGAAAGCATAGTTGTTCAAGGAGCAAAAATGACACTGATGCCCTCCAGTAACATGGAAGACATTGAAAGCCATGGTCCACAACGTCAAAAATACGTAATATATTCTGGTTTTATTTTGTAAGGAAGAGACATTTCAGAGGTATGGTACACCAAGCTCTTACATAGAAACAGAGGCATAAGTACTTCTCTTTTCAGTGGTATTAAAAGCTAGCAGGATGAGCTTCCCAAAACTGTTGAATGTTCACATCTTTAGTTGCCATCTTCATCCCACAGTCTTTCCCAATTAACACCAGCTCTTCAATGTTTCAGTATTACTACCAGGGAAGTAACAAATCTCTGCAGAGTCCAACCCAGTATAACTCTTTTTCAAAATTCTCTGCTATTGTCATCTAAAGCTGTGCAAAACCTGTTGAAAAAAATGTAAAACCTTAAGCACTGACCTGGTACATTCCTATCAAGTCAAAAATATGGACCACTTTTAGAGAAAACACACCAACTCCTGGAGAAATTTTCCCATCCAGGAGAGTGTCAGACTGACTAGGAAATGAGGAAGCCAGTGAAGGGGATATCCAACAGACATCTGAAAGTCTGAAAAGATAGCAGTACCCCATTCTGTGGCTGCAGAGAAGGCAGAGTGCAGGGCAGCCCAAATTGCTCAGACTCATGCCCGAAGCCGGAACATTTCTCTGAATCTGAGAGACTTGGTGGCAAACAGTTTGACAAGTCACCTTTTATTATCACGCCTGATGATGTGCCTTAAGAAAGTGGTCAACATCTCCACTCTTGAGTCACCATCACCCAGGTGAGACATGGATCTCTTGTTGAGTGTTTCAGAAAGAGCCATTACATCTGCATTACACTATTATTTTTTTTTTTTGCTCAAAATTTCAATATTTTTGGACTTCTATCATACCACTAATAAACATACACATGTATACAAATATGTGTATGCACATATATATGTATGTGTGTGTATATATATGTATATATATATATATATATATAATGCATATATGCATATACATACATCTATATGTATATACATATTTTCACTAGTGGATCTCCATCCTGGCCTGCCTAAGAGTGGAGCAGGACAAGAACATTAGTGCTGTCTGTGCTTGTATGAGTGCTTGAAGTGCCTTTTAAAATAGGAATAAATTACTTTATGTTTTGTTGTTTTGTTGTTTGCTTGGGTTTTCTTTAAGGGAGGAACACTTCAATATTGCACATTTTCTACGTAAAGTATTGCCCTTCTCGCTCTACCTGAAAAATTTGGCTGTATGCTTAGTACTCCAAAGAAATTCAATTGAATTTTTTGAAGACTGACATCTTGCCCTCTTTTCCACGCTAAGGAAACAAACAAAAAAAGAGTTTGAAGTATTACATGTGTAAAAGAAAGATATTTATTAAGATGGCTAAAAGCAGAGCAGCATCTGGTCCAGCAAAACATAGGCTCCAACAATGGAAAACTTTTGCAATATAATTAAATGTTCTTTAAATTGTAATCTTTTTGTTTAGGGCAAGCTGAATGATGCTTTGTCTCAAGGTTTAGGTTTTTTAAGTAACTGGAAATGATGATTAGGATTTTCGTAGCAAGAGCTGGTGGACTGTGATGATGTGAAAACAGCAAATCATGGTTTCAATATGTTAAGACATTCCCCAAGGAAACTAGATAAGGGTGCACTGCAAATCAAGCACAGATTGTTGGGTGATGAACAGCACAGACCTGTGCTTACTAAATAATGTTCTCAGTCATCTCAGTAACATTTGAGTCATAAAAAGAAGCAGTGATTTGGTTAGAGCAGACATGCAGCAGAAACTACATACTTGGTGGTCCCGGCTTTTGCAGACTGCTGCTTTAACACAGTCAAATAGAACAAAAATCTGGTGATTTATTGTTGGAATACATTTCACTCTCTGGGCTGGATGCCATGAAGTTAGGGTCAGGGCTCTGTGGGCTGCACTAAACATATCTTGTTCAAACCAACAGGCACATCTTACTCCTAATCTTCACACACTGCCCATTAGAGTCTCCCTGGCCCTACTCTACCCATTATTTACTGCAGGCCTCCACGTTTTAAGGTAAAAATACTGTCTACCAAAATGTCACACAGTTTTTTCACCAGTGGTCAAATGCATAGCTGACTCTGAAAATCAGAACCATGTGAGAGTGAGCAGAAAATATGTCATTACACTCTTGGGTTTAAAATAATATATCTAGCTAGTATTTCACATCACAAACAGCAATGGCCCAAAATCTTGGGACATACTCATGCAATGCAAGTATTCACCCTGTGTAAAGGTAGACCTGACACAAGGTAAAATTTGCCTGTAGAGACTGGTGAGCCTGCTGCAGCCCTGCCTGCTGTCCTGAAGTGAGGCAACAGGCAGCAGCCTCCTCTGAAAAAAAGGGCAAAACAAACAAAAAAAACCCACCAACAAACTCTGCCAATAAGGGATAAATTAATAGCCTTCAAAACTAGGCTTCAAACTCCACCAAACTAGGTCTCCTGGGATGGCAGATTAATTCAGCAGTGCCCTCTGAATCATTTTGGTGCCAAGATGAGATAAAGCAGTGATCAGCAGAGCAGGCAACTATGCATAAACTCTCCTTGCTGAGCTCATCGAAACTACCCAGACTGCAACTCCAGAGTTTTGGCTAGAACTTTCTACTGCTCTATTTACACTCACTAATTCTTTAAATTAATTGAGAGACTACAATTATAGCAGAGAGTAAGATGCTAGCCAGGATTCCAGTTACAATCCTTATTTGATAGGAAGTTAATATGATTACATTCAAATTCTAGCAAAGCTATGTGGGGAGTATTGGCAACCTCCTGTATAGCAGAACTGTATCAAGTGATGTGAATAAGAGGCTCAGGCTCTAAACAGCAAGGCTTTATCCAAATACTTGTAATCAATACCTGTATCCTGCTGTTCTTCAGCTACTCTGTCACAGATATCACCTGCTCTATCTTTAAAAATAATTAGCACCATCAATCACATTTGCTTAAAACACAAACAGGGTAAAGGAGCTGGAAGTAGCTTAACAAATGAAAAAGTTTTTATATGTAAATTATATCAATACATTAGAGTATATAATTCCACAACATTATTCACTGCAGTATCATTATTCCTTAATGTGTGTGAAAGAGCCATGGGAACCCACAAGCATCGTCTTCTCTGTGGTGTTTCTTAGGAGATGCCACATTGAAATCCTCTCCCACACCACCGTGCTCATTAGTTCAAGGAATACTGCAGCCAGAGGGAGTGTTGTGGCTGGTTTTTTACGAAAAAGGCAATCCACACTGGTGTGGCTGCAGCTTAGCAAGTAAACAGTGTTAACACAGAGGCACTGCAAAGTAGCTTAATTCCAGTCTATTCCTGGTACTTTGTTGGTGTGTGTTTGGGTAGCAGCTAAGACTAAATACTTTTCATACCAGTGCTTTCATTAGCTTAGGAATTCTCAAGGAATATATTAATTCCAAATTACCAGAGATAAAACATGACTCATAAGTATAAAGACCAATGAATGAACACTGCACATTTTCAAAACAGGATAAGATAAGGTAAATGTGGCACCTTGAATCGGGTCAAATCCAATCTTACTAACAGGCACTACATTGGAACCTCGCACTCTTTTTTCCTCCAAAGCTCAGCATATTCACAATGGATCATTTTCCAAGAATTCAGCTGTTTTCTTCTCCTAGCTGGAAAAATTACCAGTAAATGTAATTTCCTGGACACTATTTGACAAACATTTTCAGCTACATTTTTTGTCTTTAAATGTTTGTAGACATATGGAGTTATTACAAATATTTAATTTTTATTCTCTAAGTGTTATTGACTAATACAGTAAAACTGGTCAGAAGCACTGTTCCCTCCCCCCTCTCCTGGGGAGGTGTTCAGCCCATTCTGACATGAGTGGTGTAATCTGCTACATTCTGAAATTAGTTTTCCATTCATAATATTAACAACCTTCACCTTTTCAAAGCATCTGGTGCTGCAAGAAATTGGAAAGAGCAGCCTTGCCATATTTTCGTGATACCAGAAATTATAAAATAAAGCAAAATTAATGGAAAATCCAGAGGAAAAAACTAGTGAATTGCTTTACTTTTTTTTCTTTATTTATGCAGCATTCTTCTCAGCAGCATTTAATTCTGTTTTCTCTCTGTTAGAAAAACATATACCTGCACTACATGTGAAACATCTTCTTGAGTAAGGAAAAATTGGTGTATGCAAGAAAAGCTTGAGATATGTTAGAAAACATTCACAAAATCTTGAATTAATTTCAATTTAAAAGTTATTTTAGTTTTCATAATTTACTGCTGTGAGTAAAGAAATCACAGTACTAAATCTGAGAATGAAGAAATACAGAAAGTAATAAGAAAAGTTGGTGGCTAAAAAATAACAAAAACGTAAAATTTGAAACTCCTATGATTTTATATTGACTGCACATAAAGTTTTGAGCTCCATTAGAAATAAAACTCCTGGAGTTTTGATCAAATTTTTAAATACTAAAATCAGTAAATGAAGCTAAAGAAGTGTCTGGAGAGTGAAACAGCTTAGGGTTTGACCTCTAGATTTGTACAGCTGGTAGCATTTGAGAGTAAGTTTACTCATGTGCAATAAAAATCTTCTAATGGACTGAAATCTGCACTGAAAAATCTCCAAATAATAACCCGCTGTTGCTTTAAAATAGGTCTTCTCTCTAAACAGGATTTTAAGATACTGATCAAATCACTGTAGACCTGTTAAGAGTGTTTGGCACTTTCTCCTCTTGGAGATTTCACGCTGTAATAAGAGGAATATAAGCATGAGACAAAAAACTTCCCGTGTGAGAAGCAATGCGTGACATGGGTGAATCTGCACAACTGCGTAGCATTATAGACTCTGGTCTTGTTTAAAAAGAGAAAAAGTATGCACACTCAGCTAAAAAAAAAAAAAAAAAAGCACCCACAAAAAAAAAAAAAAAAAAAAAAAAAAAAATTACAATGATAATCAGGATCTAAATCACATTATATATTGGCCTATACATATGAAGAATTCAAGATAAATATTCCAATTTGTTTTCTTTCTTTTTCAATTAGGCATTAAATGTCCACTTGGGAGTCTTGGAAAATTTGTTGCAGACAAAGGAAGCAGCTCCAAAATGAAAATGCAGTCTCCTTTCATGAGAGCTCTCAGTGTTTTCAGACAAATCCCGTGTCTGAGATAATTTGCCAGAAAAGTGTGTTAGTTTTAGTATTATTCAGACACAATTCATAGAACATGTTTTATATCTGACATTAAACTAAATTATGATAGAACATTAAGATTACATTATAACATTTTGGCTTTCTGACAGCCTAAGGCACCTGTTCTGAATAACAAATCCTCTTGACACTGAAACGTGCTTTCCTTAAACTTCTAATAAATAATCTTTTGAGTGCTTAAAATTCACTGTTTCTAAAAAAAAAAAAAAAAATCCCAAACTTAGTTACCTGCATACTCCTGCAAAACAAGCACGAAACAGATGAAAGTGGAGTGGCTTTATTCAAAGAAATAGCTGTAGGAAATCACGAGCTTCCACCTCTCAGAGGTTGAGTGGCTGAAAAGGAAAGATTAATTATCCTTCAAAGGTGCCTGTTTCTATAAAGGGAGCCAAGGGTAACAAGCCTATACTTAACATATAAATATCTGAAGGCAAGTTAGAAACCCTTCTCCTGTGACAGATTTTAACCCTTTGCTGTAACTACCTTTCTAGTGCAGCTTGCAGGATTTTATTTAGGGCAAATCTGATGCCTTAAGTTTTAGCTTTCATATTTTTCAGATTCTGTACTGCCTTAGTGTGCAACTCTGAACTTCATATAAAGTGTTAGCAAGTTCTCTTCACAGTTTAGTTTGACAAAACAATCCTTTTCCAGCCTGAGAACCAAGGACATCTTTGCAGCATTAGACTCAAGAAGTGTGAACAGGAGCGAGTTGAGGAGAGCAATCTGGGAGGATGGGACTTCATAACCTGAAGCTGTAATTGGACAATTGACCCCAAATTTGTAAATGGACCAAAACTTATAAAAGTGTGAAAACTCGTGACCAGGTGTCCATCTTGGGCAGAGTCCTGGCTGGGCTCTTGTGCTGCCCAAGGTGTATCCTTTGAAGGCCTTTAAATAAATTCCTACTTCATTCCTTTAACTCTGTCCAGCCTCTGTTCCAGGTCAGCCTCTTTAGGCACCAAGTCAAGTACAAGATACTTCAGTAAGAACACCCTTTCTCTATATTTTTGAAATAGATAAGTAACAAATTTAAAACCTTCCCCAATCTTTTACCAAGAAACTTAATAAAAAACTGTATTAAATTGCCCAGAAAAAGTGTGAAATCCTCCAAGACATCAAGTCAAGCAAATATCTCACAGAAGCACCATAGGTTATTCTAATCCTTGCAGCTTGACTAAATGACCAATAAGGCTCCCTTCCAGCTTTGCATGTTTTCATGGAATAAAAAAAATACAAAAATTATTAATTTTGCCAAACTTCCAGCATCTTCAGACTCAATAGGAACACTGTATTTTTGCTAAAGCAGATTTCCTCTAACCATACACAAATCTGTGTCTATGTAGATCTCTTTCTACATCTCTGCTCCCATTGAATTTGTTCCTAGGGGATTTATCTTCACAAGAAATTTTCTTGAGCAGAACCACCCCTGTTTCCATGACATTCACAGTTCCACATTTAGCTAAGCCAGTAGAGACCACACTCTCCTCCTCCAACAGATATCTTTGTTGGTATTACAGAAAAAGAATGCAGTTGTTCTATTTGTTTTTCCACTGTCTGCTTTGTCAGAAAAAATGGAAGCAAGACTGCCAATAACAACAATAACATGCAACATTTCCTGTTCTATCTTCTAGAAGGGAGTGACACTTTCTAACTCTTTTGGAAGTGTATTTGTCTAAAGACTGAAACAAAACCCAAAACTCTAGGGTTTAGGTCTCTTTAAAAGATCTATCATGCACAGTGGCTAAGAAGGTCAGAAGTTACAAAGAGTATCTCTGTGACAGCTCCCTTAACCACAGTTGCCTGCTCTTGCTAGTATAATACTAAATAATCACCTTTGACAGATATAGGTGGATTATTCCCCTTTTACACAGGCTTTCCTTGGATTTCTACCTTTTTCAATGAGAACTTCATTCCCTGCTTGGTCTGTACAGGTGTAGGGTGACTCCCTCCTCCTCCTGAAGGCTGAGAAGGCATTTTACAGCTCTGTCTCCAACAGATGTGTTCAAGCATAGTCCAAGGTCCCACTTTAGATACGGTCCCCATACATTTATCAGGTAGCAAAAATGATTACTTGCCCAGTTTTTGGTTTGATTTTTTTTTTTTTTTTTTTTGGTTTTGGTTTTTTTTTTTTGTTTTTTTTTTTTTGTTGTTGTTGTTTTTGTTTTTTTTTTTTGGTTGTTTTTTTTTTTTTTTTTTTGGGAGCTTATGAGATAAAGGTTATAGGGTTTTTCTGGACCATGGGGACATGTTAAGTATCCATCTGTTTGTGGTGTGGCCTCTTTTCAAGTGAGGAATCCATTAAATACAAACCTTCCTGACTACATGGCACTTATGAAGCAGTTTCACAGATTGCTACAGATAACAAACTAAGAGCTACTAAAAACAAGCTAATATTGAAATTAAGAAAGTATAAACAAAGAACTCTGAGGGTAGATCAAAGGTTTTTCTGGAAGAATAAGCCCACACAGTAAGGTCTAATCTGAATCACAGCAGCAGCCTTGCAGCTCTACAACATGAAACGGGAGGAATCAATCAAAGGCAAGGTGAGTCAATACAGGGACTGGAAGATAAAAGGTGTGCACACGCGGGTCAACACATATATACACCTGTGGAACCAACAACTGGACACTTCACTTAAGGAGAATCTTAGTTTGTAAAAGTGGAAAGGATAAGCAGGTGAGGGGAAAAGGAAATGGAAAGGGAATGACTTATTTGGGTGTATTCAGCCATCTTCTGACACAAAACCTGGTCTCCATTCTTCTTCCCAAATTTTTTGCTCAGGGAAAATGAAATTAAGAAAAAAAAAAAGATTCAGGAAAAACAGGAAATAACATGTTTCTCTCCATTCTATTCTGTTGTCCTCCTACTGGTTTGCATGTCCATTTTTAAAGACAAAACTCCTGCTGTAGAAGACTAATGACTCTTTGCTTGTCTTGAGTACTGTTGCCTCTTTCTTGTTGGCTGGTCCCGCAATACACAGGTGTGACAAACAAGCCCATTCTCCATTAGATCAGGAATTCATCCAATGCAAGAAGCAGATATTGGTAGAGTTTGCTTTGGTTTTTTATGCCTGGGGCTTTGTTTACTTGTTTCTTCTCTCTGAACAAAGTGTACTGAAACAGAGAAGAATCAAAAAAAAAACCCCAAAAAAGTACAAGTTTACTTTCTTCTAAAAACTATTTCTGACGATCCAGATCAGAACAATTTGTCTTTTAATGGCTATTGAACTTGAAGCTTTGAATTGTAAGTAAATTAATGAACATATGAACATTGCAACTTCCTTCTATGAAGAAAGGGCAGGTGGATTGCATCACATTTTCACTGATCAAAATAAGGAGCAGCACAAATGCAAATGAAGACAGCATTGAAGGGAGATCATAATTACTGTCCAAAAAACTGTTCATTTTTCAGCTGTCACAACTCCCATTCAGCCAGATGTTATTTCTTTTTCATTGTCCTTAATGGCTGTCTTGTAATAGAGAATTGTCTGGATTTCAGCTTTTTGATCTCTTCCTAAATAAACATTTCTGAATGACCATTTTAAGTGTTTTGGAGAGAGCTTGAAGTATGCCAGCAGCTTCTTTGTCAAATCTGTTGTGAAGTTAACATGCAAGTACTTCTGTATATCAAAGGAAAAGGATTTGATGAAGAGTCCAGCTGTCGTGTTCCTCATATTAAAAGCATAATTTTCTTTTCAGCTTCTGCAAAACAGCCTCAGGATTCCAATATCAAACTTCGACTTTTGCATAAATTAATTTTTACCAATATATTTTCCTTTGTTCATGACCATCTTTAATGAGTTTTTTCTTCTCAGTGAAGAGGAGGAAGCAGTGAAGTGACAAACTTCAAAACAAAGGCACCATTTATATATGACACTTTATATGTTAGAAGAACTTGAAGAACTCTTTGGTTCAAAGCCAAGCATTCAGAGATTGAGGAAAGCCAGAATGAAAACTGCCTGGACAAACTTAATCAGGCAATGCAGGCTTTCATTACATGAATGCACACAATAATTTTCTGTTCAACTCCCATCGTCACTTGGGTACTGTGTTGTGCTCACTGCTGGGCATTATGCACAACCTGGGTTTAACTCCTTAGAAAGAATTTCCTTGGGAAATTTTTTTATTTGTATTTCTCATCTTTTTCCTCCTCAGTTCAGATTTCCCCCCGCTTTTGATCCCACCAGCTTCTGCCTCCACCACGGGGGCAAGGTGGTTGTGAGCAGCCACTAGTTTTGTTTTCTGTCCAGTATCCAAACTTGAACAAAGTACTCATGTCCAGACTACATATGAGGTATCATTTTCAAGAGAAGCCTTAATTTAGTGGACCAGATGAAGGGAATATACCCAAATATGCTATGGAAAACACATCTGCTAATTCCAGCTCTTCTTAGGAACAAGGAAAGGACTGACTGCTGATGAGGAATAAGAGACTGATGAGCTCTGAAAAGCCCCCCAGCTGTTTGTAAATTACAATATCTCAAAGGTGATTTGGGATAGATAATCATGAGGTGTACACAAAAGACAAACTTCAAGCCTCATTTAAGCACAGCACACTAAAACTTCCCAAATGGAAAGAACACCAGAATTATTATCTTACCCTCAGAAAAGCCTGATATTTTCCAAATATAAAATATAAAACACAACCTGAGGCAAATCTATGGTGTGGAAAGTTTTAGTCCTATCTTGGAAAAATTAAAAACAACTTTAAAATAAGGTTAAAAAGAGTTTGATGATGGAAAACATCAAACAGGCATATCCACAGATAATACTACTGAATTTGCTTGCCAAATGCAAGAGATCTCTTACAATACCTCTAGTGACTTCTTTTCTTATATGCATGAAGGCATTTTTAAATAAAAATAAATTCAAATAAAACAGACATTTTAGTATGACCAGCCCACTTCTGCACAATTTTCTAGTTCCTGATCAGCTCTGTATGACCTACGAAAGTTCAAAATGCAGTAGATGTATTGATTTAGCAACAAGTAAACATGCCACAGGTTTTCACATTTTGAGCTAACCAGTCACATAATATAGCTTATTTCTCCAGTGCTAGAAGGGTACTTAGATCTCTACAACAGTAAAGCAGACCTTCTTTGTAGCCCAAAGACTGTAGAGCCTGGATTGGTGCCAAATATTTTTCTAGCAGATAAAAATCCCGCCTAAGAAACCCATCTCAGCCCACACTTCTAATAGAAAGGAGAAAGTTAATTGGATCACCAACATGTGTGTTTATATCAACCATGTGGCTAATAGACCATTTGAAAATTTATCTGGCACTTCATCTGGAAAACCAAAACTGGCTGACATTGGGAAGAGGATTT